CGTATAGTCGTTAGAGAAGCCATCGGAGAGGAGCAGTGCGGATTTCGCGAAGGACGCAACACTACGGATGATCTCTTTCTAACTCAACACCAGATTCGAGAGAGACATTGGGAAGATATTAAAGGTTTACTTGTTTTTTTTTTTGGTTTACTTGTGAGAGGTTTACTTGTGTTTTGTGGATATCGAGGAGCGTTTACTTCTTCACCATCACTTCTGGTCATGAACTATGGGTAATGACCTAAAGCAGTGATTCTCAAACTGAGAGGCGCGACAGATCATGGGGGTTTTAATTTTTTTTAATACATTCTTTAAATCATTATGTGCAATTTCAAAGACAATATCTCATATGGATCAATTTTTTAAATTACTTTTTACTTACTCAAACGTCTTCACCACCTTGTGAAGACATTAAAGGAGACGACAAATGGATGGCGCTTCTCTTTGGTCTGTAACTTGAATACTCAATGCAGTGTTGGTGCATTGGTTTTCTCTAAATAAACATTTGAAAATACTCAAAGACACAGAAGTGCTGGGTTCCCCAGGCAGAGTAAAATGTTCGAAAATATTTGCCTGTCAGATCTTTAAAATTATCTTTCCATATGCCTCATCTTACCAGTGCGAGAATTCGGTGCCACTTGGATTTTGAAAATGAGCTTTGCGTCGTTATTGCTATCGTCCAGCCCAGAATTGATCATTTGTGGGTCCAGAATTATGTAGGCATCGTTCTCATTAAATTTGGCGACTGATCTTGGCTGTGACTTGGTCCTCGAGCTGTTGCAATCCATTATCTTCAAACTAATTGTTGATACTACTGAGTTATTGACAGAAATTTCACCGGTTCCCAACAGTAATGGGAAATATATGGAATGTAAGAGCCATTATAGTTTTAAAATCTAAGGGGGTATTATACCCGCAGGCGCAATTGCAAACGTGTTTCAGGCTATTGAAGATATCATCAGTGATACTTGGTTAATTGTTGGGAGTGGATTCCTTGAAGAGCTGAATGCTGAAAATGTTGTGCCAATTGAAAGATGAGCAACATTATTTAATACTATAATTTAAAAAATGACGAATATGAGCACATCTATGAGGGAATATCAGCCGGTACCCCAGAATTGCGCTGTCGGGAAGACATGGATGCGCTGCTATATTCCCTATTGATTCCACGAGATGGACGGCTCCAAGCCGTGCTTCTCCTACCTGGCTACGTACTCTGGTATCGATCAGTCTAATCTTATCTCTTCCCCCCCTCCCCCCCCCTACCCCCTTCCCCATGACGGTTCTCGTGCCTTAGAATGAGCCTCTGTCATTAATTTTTGTTTCCTTCTCTTCGTATACAGCTCTCATGGCTCCGAATTGCTAGACCACAAAGACAAATATCTGCAGCACTAGGCACAAGTGAGTTGCGGTGCAACTCAGCCGTTCTTCCCCTGCCTGTATTCCTTTCCCATCTCCAGTTGATGCCCCGTGGTGGGAATGCTGCCACTTGCCCTAGTATACTGTGACCCAGAAAATTTTTGCCATGGAAAATAGCCTCGAAATTGACATTATTACCATACCTGAGTGGGCTGTTATGTTGCCCCCAAAAACAAAAAGTGCAAAGAAAAAATAGAGGCCCAGTCGAACTTTGAGCTTATTAAAGTCATGGACAAGAGGACGACTATATCTTTTAGGACTAAAAAAACCCATGGCTGGTAGGCAAGAATATATAAAACCGATAAAATAGCTATTTTGGTGGGTATCAAGATAAATTTGATAGGTTGGCCATATGCATAAACATTTTATACCTATCATGATAGGGTATCATGATAGGTATAAGAATCGCTTCAATCTATTATGATCAGGGACGTAGCCAGGGGGGGTGTCCTGGATGTCTGGACACCCCCCCCCCCCCACCCCCCCCCCCCACCCCACACAAGACACCCCCCGAAAATAATTCCTGGCTACTTCCCTGATTATGATCCATAGCTTGTTTACTCTGCTTATAGCGAGCTACCAGGGTGAATTGCAGTGCACTTTACTAACCCAATTAATTATGTGAACCGTCGCAACTTGTGCTGAGTGGAGTCACTCTGGGATAGATTCAATCCCGTATAATTATTTGTATCAAGCCACGGCAATCGGAATTCAAGCACTAGTCTGGTTAACGAGGTCAGATTAATGCCATTAAATAATCACAAAACACTGGTCAGTCATGTGCGCAGATACACATGCCATTGTTCCTGGGCGGGAGAAGATGGATAGGAGGTTGTCATCAGGAAGATTCACGAATACCTATCATGATAGGTATAAAGAACCTATCGTAATAGGTATGATGATACCTATCAAAATAGGTCTCACGATGGATACCTATAAATTGTTCTTGCATACGGAACGGCGCAAATTAAAGACCTATCGCCTGATAGATATCTAGCTATCATGCCTATTACATAGCCTATTACATGGTAGCTATCATGATAGCTACCATGTAATAGGCTATCAAGTGATAGTTTCTTGCATACGGCCCATATCTAAATTTTATATTAAAAAAAATGAATATATCACGGTATAGTTAGATTTTTCGTCTAAGAGCGAAGAATACTTGGAAATAAATAGTTATACATAAAACGTTGTATTTTGTGACGAGAATCAAGCAGGTTAGAACTTAAGAGCTGGTTTTTCGAGAATTTATTTTTCTGCAGCCCATCACATACGTCACGTACAAGGACAGACAAAACCGGGTCCATGCTATATTATAGATTTCTCAGCATGGCATGGACATTAGTATGCATGTCCATGCCTGGCAGATCACGTGTAATACCTACTCACGAGTATGGTGTTGACCACATTCCTAGCTCTCAGGGACAATGAAATGGTTTATAAGGAATTATGTGTATCTGGAGTATTGCGCCATACTTGAACAAGTCATCCACAGCTCCAGTGCCTTCATTTAAACATATTCATCATACAATAGGCATAATTTAAAAGAAAATATTTCAATATTGGGGTAATGCCAGCTGTCATAAATACTTGTCTCCTACAAGAGAAATGCGTTGGTCACGTATCTGCACGAAGTTAAACTTACCACTCTATGCAACACCCACAGGTTAGGATCACATAGCCATAACTAAATCTTGCGGGTCTCCGTGTAGTGGATTTGTCTGTATCTACCTGATTTTTTTTTTTTAAGCCGAGGGGCAATTTGGCTGTCAGGCGGCTGCAGCATGAAAGTCCCCTACTTGCCCATCTTCTAACTGAAGCAAACAACTTATTCCTATCGAGTAGAACACTACTCGAGGAAACCACAGTTGTACTCACTAGGAAGGGGGATCAGATTGCGACAGAATATAAGATATTCCTCTTTTTTTTTTTAAATGCTGTATCACAGAGAGAACCGAATTTTTCCAGGTTTCGTGCTGGTCGGACATGGGGCCATTGGTCGCCTGGGGCAAAGTGGGCATTGGCCTGAGGCCGGTGTTCTCTCCGGTTGCATTACGATCATTGCCGTGCCTTGCCTGCGCATCGTTCGCCTGTTCAGGGGTAGCTGCCTGTCCCCTCAAAAGCCTCACTCACCAACCGCATAGAACAGCATAAGGGCGTCCATGAGGTTGGTGTGAACTTGCTTCACAGGCGATGTGCGATCCGCACAGTTGCCAAGGTGATAGGAAACATGGACACGGCTTCCCACGAGATAGAAGAGTTGTAAGCACAAGCGCGCCATATGCGTTTGCGCATTCCTAGCGCGTGCCTTGTTTTGCTTGCACTCTTCTACGTGCTAGCTCCTGCGCCTTCCCCTTTCCTAGGGCAAATATAGGCCTAGCTTAGAACTATCTTTTCTAAATGTCTATTGTGAGCCACTTCAAGTCTGGGTAACCGATTGTTGCGTCTTAGACCTTCCGCAACGATAGGTCTATGAGAGCTAGTCTAGCCGAGCATGTGAAAGGCCTAACGATAGGTGAAGCTTGCCCATGAAGGACCAAACGATAGATATAGTCCTTGAATTGGGATTAGGCGGTAGCCTACTGCATGTCTTAGCCACCAAAGACAGCATTGTTTGACCAAGTGAAGTAGGAGACTGTTTATCGCTAGTGTGTGCTCTGATGCTTCCATCTGTACAAAATGACAAGAAAAGTCTAAGTAATCACAAATTTGTTGGGAGGAGGACTGGTGGGCTTACACGAGCTCTTGGCCATTTCATTAGGCCTACTCATTATAGGCCAGATGCAAGAGGAGCTGGGAACTGCCCCTGTCCTGATGGGACAACCACTTGCAACATATTTTGACTCCACATTTAAAAATACTTAACTGATCATGCTAACACCCAGTCAATTCAAACACAGCCAAGTGGTAATGGATTTATTGCAGCAGCAGGCCAAGACCTATGAAGGGAAGTGCCATCTGAGCATTGTTATAATTTGATCGTGTTAAACCCTGGTAGTTTGATAAATGTTTCATCCTTTTTTATGCTTCTATATGCAATTCTTTTTCTTTTTCTCTGCATTGACTCCTTTACAGACAGCGGGTAGTTTTCTTGGCCAGTACTTATGCATATCTCAGTTGTGGGACTGACAACTGATCAAAAGGCTGCTAGTGGTATGCTCAGATGGACTTAAGCTATGGTAGTTCTTGAAGTCATTGAAAATGCCTTTTCTGATTAAGACCATAGCACAATTGCCTGACCATAGGAACAAATCAATTTAGCACTTATCTGATGGTTTCTGGTTTCTTGGCCTCCACACTTGCTTGACAGACTTGATAGTTTCTTGGAGGGGGGGGAGAGGACCAGTGAATGACCAGGAAAGAGAAACAAGTTTTAATGAAGCATGTTAACCTTATGGCAGGAGTCCTATTAGGCTAGTTCTAAGAGTAGTAGGCTTGCATGAGAGACTTAAAAAAAAATTACTCAATTTATCCAGCCACTGACTACCAGCCAAAATGGTGTGGAAACCCTAGCCTTTCCAATGAATTAGAGCTCCTTTTTGCAATTGCCTCATTAAATTTGTATTGTTGCTTAAACATTCAACCTGGTTTCTAACTGTGTGCAGTTCTTCACTGGTGACTGGACGTGTTCTACATAACCTCCAGTGGCTCCTTTCAGATGAAGCATCCATGTCAGGACTTGACCAAGCCTCCACATGGCTTCTCCATTTCTCTCCTTGACTGTTGAACTTCTTTTAATTATTGGGACTTGAGTTCCCCACTGTTCCTGTGCTGCCATAGTGTTGAGGAAGCTCTGGCAAAGAACTGCGAATAGGTTGTATTTATTCAAAGTGGCATCTTCAGATTCTCCATTTCACACATTTCAGTTGATCAGAAGTCTTCCTGAGCTAAGGCCAAGAATGCCAAATATTAAGCTTTTCAGTGGATCATCTCATCCTGACCTTGCCCAAAGAGTTGTGGACAGATTGGGTATTGAATTGGGAAGAGTTGTCACCAAAAAGTTCAGCAATATGGAAACTTGGTGAGCTCCTTTCATGAACAGATGCTTGACATGAGATTGTTTCTTTTTAAAATAGAATCTGAATGGGACATTTATACATGTGGCTTGTTCTTGCAGTGTGGAGATTGGGGAGTCTGTTCGAGGAGAGGATGTTTACATTGTCCAGAGTGGAAGTGGAGACATCAATGATAATCTCATGGAGCTTCTCATCATGATAAATGCTTGCAAGATAGCATCTGCATGCAGAGTGACAGCTGTCATACCTTGTTTTCCCTACGCCAGGCAAGATAAGAAGGACAAAGTATGCAGTCATTCCTTGTTTCTGTAGATCAGGAACTTGGTTTGCATGGTTTCTAAATTTATCATGGGAAGGTAAATGCAAATTTCTGGAAATTGTTCTGTAAGCTCTTTGATTACTCTTGCTGTCTTTAAAAATTTCTTTATTTACAAGTACCAGTATTGCTGTTTGTACAAATGTTATTTATTTTGATTAGTTTATCAATTATTTTAGAGTTAGCAGGGAATGAACTTAAACTAGCTGTATGACTTTTCCCACCAGAAACACCAGGGACTGGTGAGTAGAGTTGACATTGATGCATATTTTGCTTCTAGTGTGAAGATCTAAACTATAGTAGGCATGTCAAAAACTCCAGTCACTGAATATGCAAGAATTTTCTTGGAAGAATGCCATTAAAATGGTTTGTCACAGTATATATTAATTTGTATTGATTCACAGGCCGACATGAGCATGTTGTCATGTTCAGTGCTGGATCACCATTGACTAGACACATTACACCATCAGTGGAGCTTGCAGCATGTTGGCTTATGGATCAAAACAAATAATCATTTGCCTTTCACTATCCTTCGTGCTGTCTTCTAGGTAAGTCTATAAAATGTCATGGTGACTGAATTTTTTGGTCCTACTATAGGCTGTGTCTCTGTTCCCCTGAAACTGTTCCCTTGATGCTACAAATGAATGAGGAATACCTTTATATTTTACAGTTTCAAAATGAAGTGAAATGAAATTAAATTAAAAAGTATTGCCTCTATCAATTCTATTGTATCAACAATAGGGAGCTATAAAATACAAATGGAGGAAACAGAGTCTGAAAATAGCCATGACAGTTCAAAAAGTCTTCAGAATTTTCAGAATCCACAGAATTCTTAGTAAATTTCCTAGAACAGTTCTCCCTATCTCATGATTGATGCCTTTCTCATGAGTGCTTAATATTTGAAGCATCTCTTCTACAGGATTTGTTTGGATTGCAGATTTTGAAACTGATCTGTTCCCTGTGTTGCCCCCCCCTTTCCTTCTTTTTTCTCAATTTCTTCTTTCAGGAATTTGCACAATTTTCACCTACCTTCGGTGTAAGTTGATGCACATTTGCCTGTTTGCTTTGAAGCCTGGATTTACTTGAGCTGCCCAGCTAATTCCAAGTCATTTTTGGCTACCTATGAATGATGTTTCTTACTCTTATGTTTGTTAGCTTATATTGGTAAGGAATGCCTCTTTTGTTGTGACTGCATGAGATAGGGAGAACAGTCTATTCCCTTTGAGTGATTGGAATTATTCCTCTTGACACAGTCACCTCACACTTCCAGTGTCAAAATACCACAGTAGTTGTAAAAGCTATTGACAGGTATTATGCTCTCAAGTTATTGTGTAAGTACTTCTTCACCTAACATTTTCTGAATTTCATGATGGAAAGAGCATGTTGAACTCTCCAAACCTTTATTGTCGTACTCACAACATTAGACTATTGTAACCACATTGCAGTAGCATTCTTTCTGCTAAGCAAATATACCATTTTCAGATCTTCTAAGTGCATGACAAGCATTGCCTTTATGATCATCCCATTGCATGATCTATGCATTTTATGGAAATTGTGTGCTTTTTAAATCAATATATTGCTGAGCAAGACCATAATCATAAATTATCAATTTCTTATTCAAAATCCATTTCATTGATATCTTGTAAATTCTTCAATTTTTATTTTTATTCTTTTTTTTTACTGGGGAGAACAAAAGTAGGCTGGCAATTTTTATGAGAAAATGAGAAATTATGACCCATCGAATTGCAATTTCTGATGTATGAGAGAATCAATATGGCACAAATTCAGTCCTCTTCAAACTTGCCTTCATCTTTCAGCCTTAAGATGCTGTAGATGTTTTCTAGGCTAGGTATATCGCATGTAGTTTTTGAAGTTCCACCAGACTGAAATGCTTGTTCCTTGCTTTAGTGCACAGCTGCTGTAAGTCCTGATAGACTGTCAATTCCACTTGACAATGCAAGTATGGATTGGGGCTACCTACACTCAGCCAGCCTTTGTACAGGATGTGGCAAAGATAACACTGCTGTATGTGTGCAATGTCCTCTTTTTTCAGGTTGGCCATGGAAAGAAAAAAGTTGATGTCCTGGCATACCTTGAGAGCATAAGCATTGACATTGACTGGAGAACTTTTGAATTACACATGGCTGCTTGTTTGTGCCCAGGAGGAGAGGCAATAGCAGATAATCATAATACATACAGAAAGGAAAATGGGAGGGGTATCCTTTGTTTTCTATTGGTCTCTGTTTCTGCACAATTGCTGTGACAAAGCCAGCGTGTCACAGTAGGACATGCTTGGCTTACCTAAGTTGGCCTTACATAATTCAGCTTGGTTATAGCTTTAGATTCTGTTTTGTGAAGTCCAGTTCATCTTCAGTTTCAGTGATCAGGAACTCATTAAAGGTGAAACTGCAGTTCCAAATCAATTTCTTGACTTATCTCCAGTTAACCAGAGGTAAACTGAATCTGAAGTGGAGTTGAAAATTCTTTAACTTCCCTACATTCCTTTGCTATGCTTGTCTGCTCTTGCCAGAGAGTATGCTTGGGGTAATTGGCAGGGGTAAGAAGAGACAAGGTCAAAGCAAGGATATGGTTCAACTAATGACTCATAAATTATTACTGCTTTATCTCCAACATATCCTCCCCACATCCATTGAGTATGGCTTGCTTATGGCACATTATTGCTAGTAATATGATGGGGTTTGGTAAAGAGATATTGTTTGAACTAATGGAGGAAATTTTCCATCTGTGTTCTTTCAATATCTACAGGGTGGGCCAAAAAAATATTGGGTTATCCCTAGCACTTCAGAGTGTAGTTTCTCTAGTTTTAAAATATTGCAATGGCTTCTCTACATAAAATGTTAATCTAGCTCTCCACTGATGTAAAAAAAGATTTAAGATCCATTCTGTTATTCCAATGCAGTTATACACAGTGAAACAGGTAGCACTTGGAAAGTGCACTTACCATAACCCATAAGGTGTGCTCCAGGTGACATCCATTCCTTCGCTTGCACATTTGCAATCTTGCCAAGATGTTCACTTTTCAAGTGCCACCTCTTATACTCATCATCTAGCTACATGAAAGTTATGCCATGAATCTTTTTTCTGTTGATATCATTGGAAAGCTGAATGTAAGTTTTGTACAGAGGTTCTATTGCATCTCTGTATAGAACTGCATAGAACACTGTATAGAATTGCAATTTTAGCAAACTCTTTTGACCAGTGCTATGGAGTGATAAAGACAACCCACATTTTTTTTTTTTAAGACAACCCACATTTTTTTTTTTTTTTTAGCCAACCCTGTACAACATTTCATTACATTAATATGAAGTATTTCAGTTCATATTATTTACATGCCCAAGGATGCCACTTCAAGCTAATCCATGCTTGTTGCCTCAATCCCTGTACCAGAAAAATTGCATGTCTCTTATTACACACTTTGGTGATCTTGGGGTAATAATGTGAATGCAGGGTCTCAAGGAGGTAAAGGTTATATACCAACTTGTGTTCATGTCAGTGATAACATTGCTGGCTCATGTGGCATTTTTATTTCAGTGACTTTCTTCAACTGTGTGAAATGTAAACTTGGTAGGAAATGTAAATTTGAATGACTATGCACTGCTGGAGCTGTAACTTTTGTACTTAGAATAGTAGAATATATTTTTTTCATGTATTCCTCTTTATTACAAGCCATCTTGTATTACTATGTAACATTTAATATTGGTATACATTAAGAGTTCTGCTACATGTCTCTTATTATCCTTATATGCCAATAAGGGGGGGCCCCATTAAGTAAGCAGTTAGAGAAGTATAAGTCTAAATTATATTAATGTGAATTTCAATGGAATACAAATGAATAGTTTCCTTTTAATGACAGTTCAAAGTCAAACTTCAGCTTTTTAATTGCTAATTATTCCAGTCTCACTTAGCAGTGCAAAATTCTTGCATGGATTGTTGAGAGCATTGTCTATGTGCTACATGCAGCATTGCCTCATTGTATCAGGAAGGAGCTGTGCAAGCATCGGCTTTGTGAGTGGGATTGAAGTATGTATTCTAAAAACATGGACAAAGGAACTCCACCCACATTGCTTTCTGTATAAATTGGTAGATATCTGCTGTAGCAATATATCAGACCGGATAGATGGAGATTACTGTGAGCTAACTAATGTACTGTAACTAAGAGATTACTCATTTTTTCTTTAACCTACAAAATGATGAAGACCTCCACCCTTTTTGTAGGCTTGTACCTTTCTTACAACAAATGAAAAGAGTTGCCATAGCTGGTTCAAAAATTCTTCAGAGAACTTCACTGTATTTATCTCCACTTTTGATGTAGTTTGATGTCAGTATTGATGTACTCTTCAAACTTAAATTTTTTTCTACACTATTCTACGAGATTATTTTCACTTATAAGAATTGGAAAATGTAGTGTTTCTAATGCCATATCCTGTATAATTACTTCTGATGTATCAATCATTGATCTAATTGTTTTATTCATATTTACTTTTAAAAAAAAATTGCTGTTGCTCCTCCCAGAGTCGGGCCCCAATCTCAGCCAAACTAGTGGCCAATATGCTGTCAGTGGCAGGAGCTGATCATATCATCACAATGGACCTTCACGCCTCCCAGATTCAGGGCTTCTTTGACATCCCAGTTGACAATCTCTATGCTGAACCTGCTGTTCTCAAATGGATTAAGGAGAACATTGAAGAGTGGAGGAATTCTATCATTGTTTCCCCTGATGCAGGAGGAGCAAAGCGGTGAGGAGAGTGGCCAGTTCTGTGCTCTTGAAAACATGTGATGCATGTGAACAGTAATCTGTTTTTGCATATGCATTCCATAGAGTGACTTCAATAGCAGACCGTCTGAATGTGGAGTTTGCCTTGATCCATAAAGAGAGGAAAAAGGCTAATGAAGTGCAATCCATGGTACTGGTTGGAGATGTGAAGGATCGAATAGCCATCTTGGTTGATGACATGGCCGATACTTGTGGCACTGTCTGCCATGCTGCTGAAAAGTCTGCATTTATGAACAGCTTTGTTTGAGGTTTCTGAATAGCATCTTTTATTGCATTACTTTCTTGATATTTGACAGATTGGCAGAAGCTGGAGCCACTAGGGTGTATGCTATCCTCACACATGGCATTTTCTCAGGTCCTGCAATCTCCAGGATCAATAATGCAAATTTTGAAGCTGTTGTTGTCACCAATACAATACCTCAGGAGCAACACATGAAGGAATGCCCCAAAGTCCAGGTACTGTTGATCTTAATTTTTTCTGTAATGTAATCATACATGTTTGTAGACTAAGTAGATTCATGTCTTAGAGTTTATCCTTTCTTCCTGCCAGTGCATCGATGTATCCATGATCTTCGCCGAAGCCATCCGCCGCACTCACAATGGAGAGAGTGTGTCATATCTTTTTTCCAATGTTCCCTATTAATTTGTGACCTGCAACTAGCAGGCTTGTGCAATTAGCAGACCAGTCGGAATGGATGCCTTAAGTATCAAGAGTGTATTGAATCATAGAAATCAATTTTGTTTCTTCTGCCCAACAATGAACCATGTCCTTTTCATTGCAAATCTTGGTATAAGCAAGAGATACTCATTTCTCTAAGTTCCCATATTTTTAAGCATGTGTGTATAGTTGCCTTTTTATTGAAGGTCCATGACTGAGCTTAAAGAAATAACACGTTATTGGCAAATTGTCAGACCTGTCATGGAAGCTGTTGAACTTGACCCATGATGAACAATGCAGGTCATCCTTGACTCATTGAGCCCATTCTCTGCTTTTTCCTGAGACCTGGAATTCCTTCACCTTGATGCATTCACTCATTTCCTCTCGAGGAGCTTTATCCCCAACTGTATCACCTAGCTGTGCCTTGGAGAATTGTGTTACAGTTTGCAAAGCTACTTACTATAGGAGAACCAACCTCTTCCTTGTATCATATCCCTTGAGTTCAGTTTTTAACCTATCCCTTTCCTGGGCCCTACTTGAAATGGGAGTTCATGCTTGATGAGAAGATGAATGCATTAGTTCCATGTGCCTGGAATGAGAGTACAAAGAACTTTAGAGTTAAGATAGAGTGGAACCACACTCCTTAAATTTTTTTCTTTTTGACAGTTCTCTCTCAGAGACGGAGCTTAAGAAGTTAAGGAGTCTCTGTTTCATTGTGTAATTGAAAGGAGCAATTAGTGAAATGGGTGAAATGAACAATAGGTGGTCTCAGTAGCATCATTTGGGCAATTATAGTGAAAATAGTTTGAGGTTTTCTTGATGTGACATAGGGAAGTGGATATTGGAACTGCTTGGATTATGACATTGGCAGCAGGTTAACATGAAAATTGATTTTTCTTTTTTTTCCTGGTGTCATATGACATCTGTGAGCATGGTGCATGGATAGAAAAATTTTCTGCTTTTGTTGGGCATAGTTTTCCGAGGATCAACCCTGTTGCTTGGCTGGAATTCAAATGAAATATTAAGCATGACTGCCTTTGAGAATGAAGCAAGTTGCACATTGGTCACTAACATGTTCTGTTCAGTGTCATCTGTTTTCATTGCATAGCACAGAAGCTCAAGCCACAAGTCCTCCAGCTGCTGTGGAGAAGTTAATATGGGTGAACATGTTCATCTTGATAGACAAAGAGTATGCTTGATAGGGAGCTTGGTTAACCTGGTTGCCTCTCCTGATTACTTTCCAAATTAATGACCTTGGCTGTTAGTGGCTGTCTCATGAGGAACCACACTTGCAGATGAAGTTGTAAGAGATGGACAGCTCTTCTGCAATGCATCACTCCTTACACATAGGCCTTCATGAGTGTATTTGGTATATGTAAAAAATCACATACAGAAGTAAGATTTTTTACTGGAAAATTTTAAGTAGGTGAACAATTATTTTATTGGTGAGGTACAACAGAGACTGCTAAAAAAATTGCATTGATGAGTATGTCAGGTAGGACTGCAGTGCTTCTTATCAAATGGATTTGTGATGAACTCCAATGACTCACTATGCTTTTCTATGATGCAACAACAGATGCAAGAAGTAGCAGTACCTATGCAGGTGTTGTGCATCTCATTGCTGCCTGCATCTACTCCTCCCCACAGATGCCCATGAAGTCTTGCCATGACACCTGTCCTTATATCAAGGAAAATTCAAATGAGAGGATAAAAAGAAGCAAGATGAAATAATCCTACTGGGGTCATAGCTGATGGGCAAGGACTTAGCCAAATATGTAATGAAGATGAGGAAGTATATTAACGATTTTTCTGAGCTACCTTAGGTTTATTTTAATTCAAGAAAAAATTTAACATGAGCAAGAATAAGGCGTGTGCATTAGACTAGTAGATGCTGTCTGTTATCAAAATGAATTGCTTCCTAAGTTCTGGTTTTTTACTTTTGCTTACCACACTTACCACACCCAGAATTTCACAATTATGAGTCATCAATATATAAGTTGTATACATCAATAACCCTGACGTAAATGTCGAGTTGACTCTCGTTATAACGAACTTGATGAAGCCCCCGGAATTATTTCGTTATATCAGCAGAGTCTTATATCTCCAATTAGAGAACTGAATCCCGTTATGCCTGTATATATATGATTATTATTTCGTGGGTGTACCTTGGGGGCCCTACTTTTACACTTTTAAACTTTTAAACTTTTAAAGGTTTCATGAACGACAGTACTTTAACATTTGCGCTGCCACATATCCGCTGGTGGGTCACGTGGCATCGCGGTTGAAGTTTCGGAAATTGCGTTGGCAGCTGACGCTTTATGCTGCGAAGAGCGACTTCAGTTGCTTCCTGCAACGTTGCCATTGGCTGCATGCTAAAATAAATTACGCAGCCAAAGGGTTAAATGTGTAAATGCTTCTGACATATAAAGGGCATAGGCCTCCCATTGCCTTCAAAAATGAAACTCGCACGGGATCGATGGAACAAGGGAGTCCAAAAAAAAGCTGCTGAGTGCGAGCACTGAAGGGCTTCGTTCATTTGCATCTTCTGTGTTAACATCCTCCGCCACACGCACATTCACCCACATTCCCCCTATCACGCACATTCTGCACGCGCCAAATCCTTGGTTCTCAGGACATGCAGCTGAAGACAGGTAGAGGACTGAATGGAAATAGGACTGACCATTCTGCACTTCTGTCAAAAAGGAGAAAAAAGTTAATTTCCTTCTGAACGGGGGAATATTCATTTTATCCTGCGTAGTTTCTATCTGAGGGCACATAAATTCTTTCGTTATATCCAAATTTTTTAAACGGGTGTCTATGAACATTCAGCCCGGGCAACGTCAAGGACTTCGGTATAACCGGTTTTTCGTTAAGTCAGTGTTCGTTATACTGAGAGTCGACTGTATTCCTGTCTTTCTAATATTGCAAAGATGCTTGCTTATAGCCAACAGAGGCAGAATTTCATTAAATTTGGTGAAGCTATTGAATTACAGTGATTTTTAAAAATGAACTGGGAATTGCTGCATGGAAGCCTTACATTTCAGGATGCCCAAGCCATCAAGTTTTTTTGTGCAAAACCGATCATGCAAGGAAACATTTAATCATCTGAAGTGCGGTCCAACAAGACTTCCCTTGCGTGATAGTGAACTTCCTTGCACGATAGGTTTTGCAATAAAAAAATATTTGTTGATGGCTTGGACATCCTAAAATGAATGGATGTCATGCAGGAATTCCCAGTTCATTTTGAAAAAATCACTATAATTCAATAGCTTCAGATTTCATGAAAGTTTGCCTTTGTTTTTTTTGTTATATGCAAGCATCTTTGAAGTATTAAAATGATAGGAGTAAATATACATTTACTTTAGGGTTACTGATATATACAACTGATTTATTACCTGACCCTCACACAGCTGTCTCATTTGTGAGCTGGGAGGTGAAATTTTTTTATCGCCATGGGAAACAGTTTCTGACAGCTCATTTTAGCACAATTGAGTGATTGTCATGATCAGGATAAGTAAGAAATAGTCAAATGAAAAATATGAGTGCTGTCTGCCAGTCCCAGACTTAGTTGCAATTTGAATAGCATCTCAGGAATAATTTTTGACCCACGACTTGAAGGCAGAGTGTCTCTCCAATAATAACTTAGATTTGAGAAGCCATTGAAGATGATGACTGGTGTGGCCATCCACCAGTCATCTGGTGAATATGAATTTCAACAAGTAGAGAAGACGTCTTCAATTTCTTCCCTACATGCTGAAAGCCTTGAATACCATTCTAAATTCTTGGAGCATGGACAAGGCAACTTGTCAATACACTAATTGCAACATTTGATGGATCGCTGCTCCTGTATTCCTCGGTTTGAGACAAAATTTGATGAAGCATTGCCTCGCTGGGAATACAACGGATGCATTACACACCAAGTTGATAAATTGCCAGCCAATCTCTCATTTACAATTCTAGCTAGAGGAGTACTTACACGTTACCCGATAGTCTAATACATCAGTCCATAGCATGACAATAATTTTTGTGACATCGTTGTACTAAAAGAAATTCGGACCAGGACCTTAATTGTCACATCTTGTAAGCCAGTACAAAAGGAATGTGTTCAACACACCTCACTTTCGACATGAATGATTGGAAATAGCTTCATACTGCGATTTGAAAGAACTGAGTCCAACCCAATAAGGGAAGGCTGTACGCACCCATCGACTCCATCCCCTATTTTGACAGAAGATGATGTGAAAAGATCAATCAAGCAATTAAAACCCTGTCTGTCCTCAGGTCCATGTGGGGTGCCATCATGGCTTTTAAAAACATGCTCTGAATTCATAGCCACACCATTGACTGATATCTTCAATCAATGGTTGCTCACAATGAAGATCCCTGCATCCAACAAGTAGGTGAAAATCACTCCCATTCTGAAAAGCCAGTACCCCAGGAGCCAAAGTACTTTCATCCTGTTGGCAATACTTCACCAATCTTGAAGATCTACAAGTACGTCTTGCTTGATGAACTGAAAAAAAAAGAGCTCTGTCTTCTGGCCCCCTCAAATGCACATACAAGCCGAAGATATAAATGCTTGATGCTGTCACCCATCTTCACTATATCACATCCAACGCAAGTCCAACATCTCGAAGACCAGTCGGTTTCAGAAGGCCTAAGTTTTAATCCTGAGAAATGCCAAGAGCTCATAATTCCACCAGAGGACTCAAGAACTCAATCCTCTGAGAGCTCAAGAATTGTCACATAAGCCTTCTTCTTTCGCATGACGTTCGAAAAGCAAGATACAATTGGGTATCTAATTTGGAGATCCACGCGATGGCTTCCTCAGATGCTGAGTGAAGGAATGAGGTGCCTCCGGTAACAGACCTTAACGGACAGGTCGTTGTGGTGTGCTCGATGGTCTGGGATTCGGGTCCCCCGTCGCACTTTGCGTCATCGCGCATTTTCCACTTGTGGAGCAGGTGACCGCATCGGCCGTGTCCTGTGAGCGATGTCCATTCCCTGCGGGGTGGGTCGAAGCCAGGGACCTCAGCAATGGGGTCGGCGACGAGGTGGTGGTTCTTGATGCCCCATCCATCCCATGATGCTTTCCATCTGGACAGTGGGTCATCATCAGCAGCGCGGATGTTGGCTGCAGTTTCCCAGAATGGTCTGCGCGATTTTAAGCGCGTTCGTGGAGGAAGCTTCAGGTCTTCATGGATTGGAAGGTCTGGGTTGTTCGTGATTTTTTCCATCTCGCGTAGCACGGCTACGTCGCGTCGTGTGGCGGGTGGGGCGATATGTGACAGCACCGGCACCCACTCAGTCGGAGTGGACTGTGTGACGGCTGCGGGACCATGCGGCAGAACAGTATTCGGCAGCAGAATGTACTAGCGCAACTGTTGCGGTTCGGAGTGTTCTGGCCGTGCTGTCTCATGATGTTCCAGCGGGTTTTTGAACCCTTTACCCTGGTTTTCACTTTTGACCGATGTTGGTAAGGTGAGGCCGGAATGTCACATAAGTATAGAAGATCAAGAGATCATGCCTGTGGATACCTAGGTCAAATACCTAGGGTTAACAATTGATAAACTAAAATTTGACTCACATTTTTCTTCTGCATGCAAGACCTGCCAAAGCTGCACCTTTTTTTCCGTCAATCTCCTAAGGACATTTCCAAGTCACTGTATCCAATCACGATATTCATCGCTATGAGCATTCTGCCTGTGCTCACTCATGGAATGGCAACATATGTGAGCTTTATCTCAAAGGAATCCTGTAAACTCATTAAGAAGATTCTGAAAAGGCTTGCACACCTCTTGGGACAGATCATCTCCAACTATCAAGCAGAGTTGATGGAATGAGTGAAAGCAGATGGGCAGCAAATTTACAATACGATTCATGAAGATTCAAATCATCCTCTTTCCCAATAACAAAAACCATGTACAGGACAACTGGCAGGGTGACTTTGAAACATGATAAGTCTATCTACGAGGTAATATTAGAATTGAGAAAATGAGGAGTATGCTGATTAAGCTGACCAAGTAGAAATCACTGTTATTTCTTTGAAAGTTCTTTTTCTTTTTTTGATGAGCCAAAACCAGGTGAATAAAATCGTTGAATCTTTAGGGGTGAATGTGGGTGGTGAGGTGT